GGGGAGATGCGGGTCAGATGGAACAAGAAGAAGGCCCATGGCGCGGCTGGCGCGGTGAGACGTGGCGCGGCGCTGTTGGTCGATGACCCCGCTGCGCCCGCTGCGCCGAGCCGCTCAGTGCAGCCGGCCGGGCCGGCGCAATGACTTCGCCACAAGTAAATCGCGGGGAGGTCGGCGGCGCGCCGCGGTCGGTCTAGCGCAACACCATGGCGCTCACGAAGAACACGGCGCGAGCGGCATCCCTCTACGGGCGCGACACGATGATCCTTCTCGCAAAACGCCCCGAGGAGCGCTCGCATCCTCTGTCCTCTTGGCGACCAGAACGGACACTACTGCGGTGGATATGGCGCCTTCGCGGGGAAAAAATTTGCCGTCAGAACTAGTAAATTGGTTAATTTTGGGATAGTCAGGAAATTCGCTGTGCCACCTAGTTGTTGGAAAAAGGGCTAGTTGCCGAAGCCAGTTCATTCAGCAGCTAACGTTCGATGGGTCAAAACGAATTTCTTGACTGTTTCTCAATTAGGCAATGCATTATAGTTCCGACGAACAAATGTTTTTTTCCGTGCCCGATCAGAACTTGACAAATTCGAACGTATTGTTTCCAACGCTCCGTGGGCGTGTAGCGCTGGTTGCAGGCGGTGATGATCGCCACGGCTGCTTGCTGATGCTGCAGCTGACAACTTTTATTGCGCCTCGGGACGATGGTGTTGATCCTCGTGTCCAAGGTGTGCGCCGTGCGCAGTAGAGTGCCGAGGCGAATAAGAACGACACTTTCTCGTTGAGCATTATCCCCCCTTCTCCCCTCTCTCTCTCTCTCTCTCTCACTCTCCCTGTCTCTCTGTTTCTCTCGCTCCCCTCCCCCAGAGGGGCCTTAATGGCTGGCCCCTCCTGATGCTTCACAGCTCACTGGGCTCTATGGGCCCGCGGGCAGCAGCCATGCCAGCAGCTCGGCGGTGGACTAGCCCCCCCTCCACTTCCCGTCGGGGGACAAAACAATGCCATCGCTGAGCCACGCTGAGCTGAGCCCTTAGCCGCGCTCTCAAGTACCCGTTTGGGAAAAAACACACGCGACAACGAACCTATGTAGTTTTTCCTGAGCCAATCAGTGGAGCGGGCCCCCCTCGGGGGAGGGGGGTTGAAGGGCGTGCTGTGCGATCCGCTGCTGACACATGAGGAGTGAGTTCTCGCATATCGACTGGCGCGGCTGACAGCCTATATCGCCTCGGCGAGGGCAGCGGTAGCAGCAGGAGAGACGGCAGCAGCGGCAGCAGCGGCAGCAGCGGCAGCACCAGCGCCCAACCCTCTCAAGCACGACGGGCGGGCTGGATTAAAACTTTTCCAAGGGCAGCAGCCATATATACCTTATCCACACATCAAAAATAAAGCCCTCTGGAGGGAGCCTCTGAGAGGCAGGCGGCTGCTGGAGGGGAGGGGGACCCAACAGACCCGGCCCTATCTACAGAGGGATGACGCCCAAATAAAACTTCACAGACTTTTACATATGGGGCCGCGTTACCGATTCGGAAGCAAACAGAGCAAGGTCCTCGCCGCCCCACCCCGGCACGAGAGTCGCGCGCACAGTCGCAACTTGGACCAAGAATTTCACAATCTTGCGAGGATCTGCCGGCGAATGCATGGGTGGCGCGCGAGGTGGGCGCGGAGGGGGCGTCACTCGCAAGCTCATCCCATTCAATCCCCCAACTTTACAAAACCCACGCGCTTGAGCGCAGAGTACAGCGGCGGGAGGGGAGGGGGCGTTAAGACTGGCAGGCCTGCGTATATAGCATGTCGAACACAAAGCCGCCCTGCTTATGGGCCCTCCGTATCAGTATGACAAACTCGCCCCCCTCCCCCTCCCTCCCGCAACCAGCACTACGCACCTGTACCCCGTTCGTTTTCAGCCTGCGGCTAGGACCCAGTTTCCTCAAAATGACTGGGCGACTGGAGGGCCACGATATATACATACTTCTGCTTATGTTTACTCCGGGATGATTCGAAAGGAAACCAGTCCAAGGCCACGGTGTCCCAGCCGGACTCGGCGGCCGCGCCACTGACGCAACACATGCCACCGGCCGCCACCGCCGGCCAGGGAGGACACCGTCAGCGGGCCTCGGGCACCGCCCGGCAGCCTGCGAAACCTGCTGAGTGCCCTGCCGAAGCAGTGAGCAGCCAACGGCAACCGTGGCAGCTAAGGGGGCCACTCTCCTTTTAACCAGAGGCATGCTCCAGCCCACGCTTGCACTTGCGCTTCTGCTTCAACATTTCTGTTAGAACAAGGTGACCAGTGTCCAGACCACCACCGGCCAGCGACAGCGAAGCGAACCGACAACAAGAACGCACGAGACAGAGGAAGACCCGCAGGGTTGGGCGGCGGTCAGTTTGAAGGTGGACAACGAGTCTGGAGGCGGTCCTGGGCGGGCTCCGGGGCCGCAGGTGCCCCGATGTTGTTGACCCTGCGCGCCCCGCCGGCTCTGCGCCGTCCTCCCCCGCGGGCCTCGCCGGGCCTCGCCGGGCCTCGCGGGCCTCGCCGGGCCTCGTGGGCCTCGCCGGGCCAGGAGGCCGGGACACGCAGGTAATTAATTGGCGTAATCCGTCCTGCGGCTCTCGCCCCAATTAGCGAACACCTGAGTGGGGAGCCGGCCAGGTGCGCGTCCTGCGCGCGCGGCCCTGGGGCGGCCGGCCCTCTCCACAACCACACACGTCCTCGCAGGGCACAGAACACTCGGGCCGTACACAGAACACTCGGGCCGGGCACAGAACACTCGGGCCGAACACAGATGGAACACAACGAGCGGCACTGACCACGTTCTCCACATGAGCACGGCGGAGGGTATATCCACGACACAAAACACTCACTCTCCAACAAACACACTAACACACACGCACAGACACAGAGCGGTGCGTCTCTCGCGGAGCGGCTCGACTCGCCGCTCACAGCAGCGCGGAGCACGGCGCGACCGTCCGCGCGCGCATAGCGACCCACACTGCCAGCGCCAGCCGCGCCGCCGCCGCCGCCCCCCGCGCGCCCCGCGCCACTCCAGCAGCGCAGCCAGTCAGCCGAGCCGAGCGGCCGAGCCGAGCCAGGCGGTGACCCGAGCCGAGCCGAGCCAAACCGAACCGCGCCAAGCGCTGAGCGAGGGGGGCCGGGGCCGGGCGGAGGCCGGGCGGGGGCCCTTCACCAGCAGCGGCCCGCTCTCTTTCTCTTACCGCCTCGCTCTCTCCACCTCCATTTAGTGCAAGGAGGCCGAGTCTACTGGCTGCGGTGTCCACGGGAGCAACGCGCGTACAGCCAGCCCGAAGAGGGGAACCCTCGTCAGCAGCCGTGTAAACCAGCATCAGGGTGTAAACCATATACCGGTGGAAAGTCGTTCTTATATGGCGGCCACTTCGCGATTACCGAGCGCTGAGCGTTTGCCGACCTCGGGTTCAAAGTATAACCCCGCGAACTTTTAAGCTTGCACCGTTCCCTGTCTGTATTCCGGTGGTCGTGCACCTGGCATCAAGTCACCGTCACCGGCCGTCAGCGCGCCCCCGCGCCTGGTGACGACGTCTACAAGCCGTCATCAGAGCCTGGCTGGGCGGTGCCGCCCGCCTCCCAAACTCAGAGCCGCGGCCACCGGTAACCACTTTCAAACTCCGCAATGACCTTCAGCATGAGCGCGCAGCTCTCGCGGCACAGCAAATAAGACAAAAACAGTACAGAAATAGCCAACCATCGAAATCTCCGTTTTCCTCAAGCGAGCCAGTGTGACCATTGCTGACCTCGCGGAGGGGCGGTAGTACCTGCTCCAGCGCGTGCCGCCCGGCGACAATCACTCCTTCATCAACGACTGGCCAAGTAATTTATCGGCACGCCGCGGCGAGAGAAAAGTTGCACGCTCCCCCCACCGCCGCCTCCCCCACCGCCGGAAGGGTTGCCACACCAAACTACCCCGCGGCGCGCGAGGCGCGAGGCCCAGGCCGGGTTACACCGCAGCAGGGTGCAGCAACGGCGTATATATTTATGCCGAATTGCAGAGAAGTTTTATCGGCCAGCTGCCCCACTTGCCACTGAATGTTCTGATTGACCCCAGTCCGACCGGGTCGAAGAAAAACACAACAATTCCACTGCTGAGAAAAAATATTCGTAGGTGTAACAAAACTAGAAATGCAACATGTAACATACGAGGTGTTATGGACACCACGTTATTGACACACATTTCCCTGAAACGTAATCGTACAGTATTTTTTTTTATATTTCAGTGCACGACCTTTTTGGAGTTGCGAGCCTTTGTAGTGTTCAAAGACAAATTCAAAATTTGTTTCAGAAAATAAGTCAATATTTGCCGTCCAGGATTGTGCATCGATACGGAAAATTTAAGACCATACGTTTTCTCCAAGTCCTTGGCAGCATGCGGTAAAGAGGCAAGGAGCCGGGGAAGGTGAGTATTACACGACAAGCACACTCAGAGGAGATTGGGTCCAGCGTCCTGTCGTGACCTTGCTTGAAGCTCCACCAGGACGGTCGGCTCCTCCAGGCTCCACCAGGCTCCACCAGGCTCCAGGGGGAGGGGTCGTGCGCTGTGTCAGTAGGCGAATTCCAAGCCGTGGGCGCCGTGCTTCTCGCCCAAGGTCACGGAGCCTTTTATCTCGGAGAGGGATAAGATGAGATACATTTTGGGGTGCGAGCTGCGCCCCGTTGGGCCACGCTGCGCCACGTGCGTCACGCCAGTAAAACAAAGCAAAACATTGCAAAGGCCGTTAGGTTGCACACGGCACGATTGCCTCTGCGCGTAAATGTCGTAAGAAGAAAGAAAAGAAA